GGCACTGTGCTACCAGAGCTCCTATGCCTTATATTAGGGCCCTCAAATTTGCCCCTAGATTTTTCTTGAGGAACTATATAGTTTTAGGTTTCACATTTAAGTCTTTGATCCATCTGGAGTTCGTTTTTGTGTATGGTGTGAGGTAGAGATCTTGTTTCATTTTTCTGCAAATGGATCTCTAGTTTTGCCAGCACCATTTATTAAACAAACATTCTCTTCCCCATTTAATGGATTTTGGGCTATTCTATACATTTTTAAATCAAGGAATTTCCAGGTTTTTTCCTGCTTGTTTCCTTCTCAGTAGAAAATACTTCATTATCTGGATATTAAGCTCTGTTATAGACCACTCTATTGATGATTGATGGTAGTTATGCCAATAACTGGTTTTAAAAATTATTTTCTCTAAATAACCTTTGTTAGATATGGATAATTTACAGACTCGGGAAATAAATTTTTTGTAGAAGTATGTATTTTGCATATATTTTAGCACTTAATAATTTAAAAACCTTTTTAAAGAAAAAATCTACTTGGTCCTTTCTACAGCCTAAATCGAAGACATTTTTAGGTATTGTGTCTTTTATGGAAGATACAGCTTTTAGACCCAGACCATTTAAAAATTACCCAACAAGTGATAGACTTAGGCTTTTAACTCTTAAAAGGTTGTTGTTGTAAAAATCATTTAAAAATAGCCAGACCTTACCAGTATTATCCCCTCGAAATGTATTCTTCCTTAAAAACACATAAAAATGCATTTTTATGTATATACAAATATATATAAAGTACACATACATGTACATTCTTTTTTTAATTCAGAGTGAATCATACTACGTACTCTTCTAAACGGCTTTATATTCAGTGAATATATCATGGACTTTCTATGTTTGTACATACAAAGTTAGCTTATTCTTTTTGATTGCTGTGTAGTATTCCATTAAATTAATGTACTGTGGTTTATTTAACCAGTTTCTTGATACAGAAAATTAAGTTATTTCATTTTGTTTATATAATTATCTGTTTTAAACAACTGAAGTATCTTTTATATTTGGTATAGAGATTTTGCTTATCATAAATGAATCTGTTAAAGGTAAAATATCAGAATCTGGAGTTCATCTTATTTGGAAAAACAGCTAAATTCCTTTGCAATAAATTTATTGTGTTTCTACTTCATTCCAGGCACTGTGCTAAGCATTAATGATACAGAGATGAACAAGATATTTGTTGCTCTCAGTGACAAACTTTGGGAATGGTTCACTTCTGTCAACATACATATCGTGTCATTCTTCCCCAGAGAGGGTAATACCTAATTCCTTGGACTCAATGCTAATCATCACTTAATATGTCAGTCCAAGAGAACTACACTGTTCTTTATAATCACTTCTGCTGTTTCCTAAAAACCGTGACAAATAAAAATCATTGTTTTCTTCAATGACTTTATTTAGTTTATGTAGTATGATTGTACTATGTGTTATGGTAATTGGATGATACTATGGTAGTTAGATTTATTTTTCAAACTGGTCATATTTCTGATCAAACCACTCATTCAGTAAATATTTGTTAAATATCGACATGTGGTAGGTACTAAACTAGTCACTGGGTGTACAAAGATGTTACAGCCTGCTCTCATAGAATTATCTAGATAGGCTGGAAAAAGAAAAATAGTTTGGATCCACGACTTTGTTGTTGTTAGGTTCTGTCAGGTTGACTCTGACTCTTAGTGACCCTGTGTGCAACAGAATGAAACACTGCTTACATCCTCATAGTCCTTGCTATTCTTGAGCTCGTCACTGCAGCCACTGTATCAGTTCATCTCATTGAGGATCTTTCCCTTTTTCACTGACCCTCCACTTTACCAAGCATGATGTCCTTCTCAAGAAAATGGTCCCTTCTGACAGCATGACCAAAGTAGGTGAGATGAGGTCTGGCCATTCCCACTTCCAAGGAGCATTCTAGTTGCACCTCTTCCAGGACAGATTTATTCATTCTTCTGGCAGTCCATGGTACTTTCACTATTCTTCACCAACACCACAACTCAAAAGCATCAACTCTTCCTTGGTCTTCCTTATTCATTGTCCAGCTTTCGCATTAATATGAGGCAATTAAAAATACCATGCCTTGAGTTAGGTGCACCTTAGTCTTCAGAGTGACATCTTTGTTCCTTAAGACTTCAAAGAGGTCTTTTGCAGCAGATTTGCCCAGTGCAGTATGTCATCTGATTTCTTGACTGCTGCTTCCATAGTTGTTGATCATGGATCCAACTAAAATGAAATCGTGAACTATGTCAATCTTTTCTCCATTTATTGTGATGTTATTTATTGGTCATTGTAAGGATTTTTTATTTATGTTGAGTTATGATCTATACTGAAGACTGTAGTCTTTGATCTTCATCAGTAAGTGCTTCAAGTCTTTTTCAGTTTCAGCAAACAAGGTTTTGTTGTCTGCATATTGCAGGTTGTTAATGAGTCTTCCTCCAATCTCAATGTCACACTCTTCTTCATATAGTCCAGCTTCTCCGATTATATGCTCAGCATACAAATCAAATAAGTATGGTGAAAGGATACAGTCCTGACGCACACCCTTCCTGATTTTAAACCATGCAGTATCTCCTTTGCTTGAATAACTAACTGCCTCTTTCTCTTTGTACAGGTTCCTCATGAGCACAAATAAGTGTTCTGGAAAACTACATTCTCTACATAGTACATATCAGTGGATATTCTGTTGATTGATTATTTTTAGATGCTACAGTGTTAACTCTAATCAGTAAAATATCATTTACTCTTAAACAAACTGGCTTTCAAACCTAACTGCTTAAGTGTCCTCTTTTCTTCCACAGTCTTCATTTTTAAATACAGAATTTTGAGATATCTCAAGTAGTTGAAATGTAAGGTTTAGGTGAAAAACTTTATTTTAATCAAAAGGAAGATCTAAGAAATTTCTTCTCATTATCCCATCTAGTGTCTGTACATGTTTTGAAATTATGGCTTTGTACAAAATATGTTGTTGTTGTTGTTATGTGCCGTCGAGTCGGCCCTGACTCATAGTGACCCCTCCTTGGGTTTCCGAGGCAGTATCACTATGGAAGTAGGATTGCCCAACCTTCCTTCCGAGGAGTGGCTGGTGGGTTTGAACCGCCAGCCGTCTGGTTGGCAGGCAAGTGTCTTAGCCACTATGCTACCAGTCATTGTAAAATTTCTTTTATTTTACTTTTCCCCTTCAGACATTCTAAAATACTGTGACTGTCACATCTTTCTCACACATATATACAGGTATATATATACACATATATATGTGTGGTGGGTTTGAACTGCTAGCCTTTAAGTTAGCAGCCAAGCACTTAACCACTCAGTCCTTTTATAAGGACTCCTTATAAAATATTGTTAGGGAATGTAAATAATTTCTTTTCTTTTTTCAGCGGGTCCATATGGAATATTTGCTGGTAGGGATGCCTCCAGAGGACTGGCAACATTTTGTCTAGATAAAGATGCACTTAAAGATGAATATGATGATCTGTCAGATTTGAATGCTGTACAAATGGAAAGTGTTCGAGAATGGGAAATGCAATTTAAAGGTACCTTCTTTTATTACATTTTTTGAGAAAGTTAAAATATGGTCAAGCAAAGTGTGTTTCATATTATTTAAGAGCCTTAAGATGCCAGCCATCTGTTTTCATTGCCACCATAGTTTGGTGGTGGTTTAAACATGTTGTTGCTGTTGTCAGATGCCATTGAGTCGTCTCTGACTCATGGCAACCTTGTGCACAGCAGAACGAAACGTCGTCTGGTCCTGTGCGTCCTCACGATCCTTACTATACCTGAGCCCATTGTTGCAGCCACTGTGTCAATCCATCAGAAGTTTAAACATAGCTAAATATGATGTTAATAAATATCATTAATCATGTGATTATTATTTTGAAAATCTGTATTTTAAAAATTGACTTGTTACTTTATTTAAAAAAATTGTTTAACAACCGTAGTGTTAAAAGGCTTGTTATTTAAGCTATAACACACACACAAAAAAACCAAACTCACTGCCATCAAGTCAATTCTGAGTCACAGTGACCCCCATTGAATTTCCGAAGCTGTAAATCTTTACGGATGTAGACTGTTCCCGTTCCTTCCACGGAGTAGCTGGTGGGTTTGAACCACTGACCTTCTGGTTAGCAGCAAATGCCTTATCCACTACGCCACTATAGAGTTGGTTTATTTTTAAAACTAAATTGATAACAGGTGTGGATCCTTTAATTATAACTTATTCTGAGATGCTTTTCTTGATATTATCCTTGAACTATAAACAAAAAAAAAATGTCATTCTCCTTTAGTATACCCTTGTAACATAAGATCAGCTATTACTCCCTATTTGACACTTTGGACTGCTGTTTATCTGACCTCTGGATCCCGTGGAACAGCTACTCTGGCTTCTTGGCATTTGTATTGGTTCTAGTATATGAAACTGTTCTCTTAACTAATCCTCTTGGTTTATCAGCTAATTCACTTAATCTAGACTCAAATTCCTGACCAAGAAACTACTAAACCTTGAATATACAATGTTCTAAATTAAGCACTTTGGTAACAAAAACAAAGTAACAAGGATCTGAGATGAGAGAGTGATAGGAGGCAGAATTATAGTGGGTCAAGGGTCATATACTGAGACCTCAAAGCTCTCAGGGTATCAAGTACCAAATGAATCCATCTCCTTGTTTGTTTTCTTAAGACTACATCATTTGTCACATTAAGGATCTCCAAGTGATTCTGATGCAGTATCCTTGAATAAGAAGTGCTTAATCATTCTGCTGAAAGGAATTCCTAAACCTTATAACTTCCCTAATCCTATTTCTTTTGCTTACTTGTGCACAAAGACCAGCCATGGTGAACTTTGCTTACCCTATATAATTAAAAAAGCAAACAAAGTCAATCACAACTGATTTTCTTTTGATGTATCTTTCAGAAAAATATGATTATGTAGGCAGACTCTTAAAACCAGGAGAAGAACCATCAGAATATACAGATGAAGAAGACACCAAGGATCACAATAAACAGGATTGAACTTTGTAAACAACCAAAGTCAGGGGCCTTCAGAACTGCAATTCTTACTCCCTTTCACAGAATGTCCAGCATCTTTGGGTATGGTTCACCTGCTGTGAGGAACATTCAACAGATTGTGTACAAGATAAATGAGTCTCATATGAAGATTTGAATACTAGACATTATTTGTGCTGCCAAAACTCATTTTTTGCAGTTGTTTGTAATGTCTGGTGGGGCTTCATCATTCTGAGGGGGGAAAAAAAAGACAGGGATTTTTTAAAGCGCAAGAAAGGTTACTTTTACTTTTTTCTTTTCTTTCTCCCTTTCTCACGTTACTTTATTTTATCAAAGACAACCAGATATATATTTGCTACTCTTGAAGTCTACAGATCTCCTCAAAAAACCACAGAGGACTCTTAGTTCACATACTGTGTTTTTGTTTTAGCCTTGGGTAGGGATGGGATCAGGGTAGGGAAGGGGGATTGCACATCAGTTTAAGTTGTTCAGGCTACTGAAGCATATTAAAATGTAAATTCCCAAACTTTTTTCTTTGGGCTTTTTGTCAGGGAAAAGAAAAATTCTTTATTTCTAAGAAATTTTTGGAATTTAGGAGAAGGCATTTCAGGTGGATTTAAGTCAAAGCTAATTTTCCAATAGTAAGATCATTTGAAACCAGTCTTTATCCCTTCTTATTTCCCTAGATTAAATCAATATTAATTGTGCCTTATTTCATTTACATAGACTTGAATTATTTTTAGGGAAAGCCCCTATATGAATTCAGAAGTCACTGCAAGCAGCATTGAGACTGAAGTTGGAACATTCTGTTGACCGTAAAACCTTGATACCATTCTGTGTATATAGAATGTAAAAGGAATATTCAGTATTACTGCCATATATGTTAATATACACAACTTAATTAGCATTGTAATGGCCAAATGCATTCCCCCATGCTTTTCTCTTTTCAAAAAAATCAAAAAACAAATCAACAACTCTATCCCGCAACAGCTGCCTAATTTTAGGAGACTGATCCTCACATCTCAGTGGTGTGAGTCCATAGGGATGTGGTATGGATGTCTGTATGGGTGTGTCTGATTGTGTGTGAGTGCCTTGGAAGGGACTCTTTCTGCAGATACTGTAAATACAAGTACCATTTTAATAAAGCATGTACAATAAACCAAAATAAGCTTGAGTTGGACTTTATATACAAAGCTGTAAGCCAGTGTGTAGGATATGGTAGTCAGGATTGTGAATTTGATTCAAGATAAGGAAGAATCTTGGACATGAAAAGCAGGCACTGGTTAACCAAGTTGTACACATTGTACCACATTCACTGTAACTTTAGGAAGAAATTCCACTTTGTGGAACACTCAAGATCTGAAATTATTCAGGTAAGAATTGATTTATAAAAATGTACATATTTTGACTTTATATTTTGATGCCAAGTGATTATACTAGAGGTAATAGCACTCTAGGTAGTTGTTATTGAACACAAAATAATAAAGGTTATTGTACTGATTATAATTCTTCCATTATTAGATGAAAGTTCTAAAAGCCCTGTATCTGTCAAATACTGGATTTATCATGACTATTTAGTTCCCCACTGGGGATAGGTTAATACCTATCACCTGTTAAAAGATTTCTCCTGCCTTATGGGCATAATACATGCAGAAGCCATAAAATAAAAGAAAGGGAAATGTTTAACTGCAATAGTAATTAAGTGAAAGTATGTAAAATACTACATTCTGTTATATTTGGTCTTGGAATGTTTTGTAGAAAATGATGACCATCAGCCAAATCTTTGCTGAAAACTGGTTGTGAAAATGCAAAAGTATTGGTAAATGCTTTGTGTATTTTATGTAAAATATTTTTTAAACAAAAATTTGTTTAAAGTATATGTCCTCTGTAGTAAATTGATAAATATATGAATCATTTGAGCCTAAAGTTCAATAATAAATCTACACTTGTGAATATAGAAGCCCTAAATATATTTGCAGTAAAAATTATGCAGTCTGTTAAGAAAATGGGTAATTTTGTGTTTTGGACTTGAAATAAACAGTGTTCTATAGATAATTCCTTGATTTCATTTAAGTGTTTCTCATTCTCAGATAGTTTGACGGGCAGTCTTTGAGTAAGGGTTGGGACTTGTGGTGGAATTGTCACCTGTTTTTCCTCCTCAGCCAGTATTTTCTGATTATTTGAACCACAGGTACTTAGGATTATTGGCTCCTATCCAAGCCTATCACCAACCAAGCCAGAATCTAAAGAAAATGGGCCTCAAAATCTTATTTGTAAGGAGTGCTTTGGTTAATTCTTAGGATCAGGCACATATGAGAAACGTTGCACTAATCTTTCCAAGTTACAGTGTCCATCTTTTATCATTCTTTAAAATGGAACTTACACGTAGATAATAATGGTCTGATTCCCTGTGTTTGGTTTTTTTTATTTTTTTAAATACTGTGTTTTAGGTTAAAGTTTACATAGCAAATTAGGTTACTATTTACCAATTTGTATACAACTTGTTCTATGACATTGGTTACATTTTTCCCCAATGTGTCAACATTCTCTTTATTTCTATCATTTTTGTTCTGTTTCCTAGCTGATGGAGTGCCTATGTGCTAAAATTGTTTTGCAGCAACTACAGGTTAAAATTTGCATAGAAGGGTTAAAGAGGTAACCAAGGGAAAATGGAGGGAGGGAGAACACTCCCAATTTATTTTCCTTTCTAATTGAAAAGACTCATCAGTCCTTTTGAAAGTACGTCCTCCGTTTATGTCCCCATCTTCCTTCCTGCCCATCCCCATCACAGAGGAACTTTGCTTAAATAAAACTGTTCCTAGTCCAGTCTGGTGATAATTTACAAAAACACAAGGTAAAGTGAGAAGCAGATTTAAATTTGATCTTCACAAAAACAAATACAATAAATATATTATGAAAACAGTGCAACCTGATAACACTTTCCTGAAAGGAATGACTTATTTGTGGGAAAAGACCTTTCCCCTTAACTACCGAAGGTGGAAAAGAAGACGAGGAAAATAAGATAGGAATAAATCACATTTAGGAATGAAAGCCACTCCATTGTCATTGAGTTAACTCCTATTCATGGTGACCCCATGGATGTCAGAGTAGAACTGTATTCATAAGGTTCTCACTAGCTGATTTTTCAAAAGTACATTACTAGTCCTTTCTTCCCATGTACCTATGTTGGATCAAACCTCCAACCTTTATATTGGCAGCTGAATGTGTTGACCATTTGCACCACTCAGAGACCAAGAAATGTAAGAGCAAGAATTATAGTTTTTTCTGTTTCCAAAGCTGTGTGTAATGGAAAGAGCTTAAGCCTTGAAGTGGATCTGTTGTTTTCTGATCATACTGAGCAAGTTTCTTAAGTTCTCTGAGCTGATTTTCCTCATTTGTAGAACCAAAATCTCAAACCAATTTGCTGTTGACTTGATTCTGACTCGGGTAAATAATACTTCTCTCACAGGTGAGGAGATAAAGGTCACCAACTCCGTGGCATATGTTACACACTCAACATCTATTCCTTACTCCACTTAGCAATGCCAGAAAAGCATTTTAATTATCTTTACAATTTTCTTCTTTTTTAAAAAAAGAACAATCTGAATAACCATTAATTAAACTGATAGCCCTGAATTGAAAAAATGTTCACTAGCTTTCCCCAGTAGGAAAGCATTGTGCATTTAGTAACACAGAGCATCAATCCAGTATTAAAAGCTCAGAGATAATGCCAGGAGCCATAGTTTCCACAATTACTAATAATCTAACATGCCCAACTCATAATTATTTGGAATCGGGGCTCATTGAAGGGTTGAAATTATCCTGGAATAATTTGCATAACCTGATACATTTACAGGTGAGCTGCAGGGACTGAGAGATTTTATTATATTGTGAAAACATTTCATTATTCCACTGGCCATATTCACTGTAGAACAGTAAACGTGCATAAGTTAATGCTTTTTAACTAGAAACAAAATTGAAAATTCCAGGTGACAGCAGTGAGTTCACCTGTGTTTGCTCTTTAGTGTCACAGATGTTTGTATTGTTTTAATTGGCCTGTTTTGAACTGCCACAAAGTAATTCACAGTCACCTCACAACCCAACTTAACACTGTTAAGCACAACTAGTGATTAGAATGGCATAGTACATTGCAAATATATTGTGTAAATATTTCTCAATGACTGATTAACTGAGTCTCTTTACATTAAAATTTTAATCACCCTAAATGAAAAATCACTAGATTCACCTATCTCTAACATATTCTTGAGTAGTTAGTATTTAGTCAAACTGGAATCTGCTATTTCCTGATTCTCTGTACATTATGAAATTTTACTACATTTTTGTAATTAAATAACAAATCCCTTCCTTGACTTAGTTCGGTACTTCATCCGATATGTCCTCCAGGGCTTCAGTTTCTAAACTCTGAAAGACATTTCAGCCTCGAAATGTTATCAATATTGTTCCAGATTAAATTCAAAGAGCTTTTCACCTAATCTCTGAAACAAGATTTCATCAGATGTTGAGACTGACCAAGAGGAAAGAGTAACATAATTAATCCCTTTGCTCTCAATGACACCGAAGTCAATATGAAATTTAAATTGAAGGGCATAATCTAATAACTTCATTCAGAATCACTTGTATTGCTTTTGAGCAGCTATCTAAGGTGCAACTATTAGTCTTTCCCTGTCCAGAGCAAAGAAGAGTGAACAAAATCAAAAATGGAAGGAAACAATTAGTTCAAAGGACTAATAGACTACTTGAACCCCAGCTTCCACAACCATGAGACCAGAAGTAATAGATGGTCTCAGGCTACAACTGCTGACAGCTCTGAAAAGGAACAAAATTCCAAATAATAAAAGACTAGGCTTACTGGTCTGATAGAGGTTGGTGGAACCCCCAAGACTATGTCCTTCAAGCCCGAACTCACCTCTTGGCTCAACTTTCAGCCAAACAGTAGGCATTTAGGGGAACAATAATATCAGGGAAGTACTCACTCCTTAGAACAAACAACCATAAGATATCAAAGGGCAGCATTTGCTCAGGGACAAAGACAGAATAGGGAAGATGAATAAATGGAAACAGTAATGCAGGGAGGCAGTGAGACAAGTGCTGTTATGTTGTAGGGATTGCATTCAATGTCACAAAATTGGATGTATATGTTCTGAAGAGACAACCAGTTCACTCTGTAAACTTTCACCTAAATCACAGCAAAACGTTAAAAACAAAAGTTTAATTTTTAAAAATTCTTTATAAGTAAGTTTACAGAACTAGCATGAAATCATTCAATTTGGATTTAAAAAAGAAACCTTCAAACATTGCAGACAATGGAATGTTAGAATTGACCTGCCCAAACCAAAAACCAAACCCACTGCCATTGAGGCAATTCAGACTCAGTGACACCCACTGGGTTTCCAAGATTTACTTCTGTAAATCTTTATAGAAGTAGATTGCCCCTATCTTCCTTCCACAGAGTGGCTGGTGGGTTTCAACCACCAACCTTCTGGTTAGCAAAATTACCAGTCAAACGTCTTAGGCACTGCACCACCAGAGCTCCTTAAATTGACCTGCACACCTCAGATTTCTGGTTGCTCTCCAAAGATAACCACAGTTTTGTTTGGTGTCTATCTTTCTAGCACTTTTTCTAAGCATTTACATTCATACAACTGTACCGGTAGAAAGAATGCAAAGCTTAAGATCAGAATCTGTAGACAAACTGCCTGGGTACAAATCCTGACTCTTCCACTTACTAGCTGTGTGACTTTGGACAAGACACTTAATCTCTCTATGCCCAGTTTCTAAATCTGTAAAATAGAGGTGACAATAATAACTGATTCATAGGATTATTTTGATTAAATGAGTTTATGCAGTGCACTTAGAAAAGAATCTAACACATGGTAAACACTATAAAGTATTAGCTATTATTTTTCCTTCTCCTTTTTAAAAATGTAAATGGCATCTTCCTGTATCTTATTTTGGAAACATGTTTAACTCGTTCATGTAGTTTGGAAATATTTCCATGATTTTACAGGTAAAATCTGCCTCTTTCTTTTTCATTGCTGTAAATCTCATTTTCTGTATAATTTCAAATAGCTCCTTAATTCCTAGAAGATCTGTCTACATTCTATCCAATAGTTTATCCCTTTCTCTGTAATTAAGTGAACAAAA